GATTAGGATAAGAAAGTCCTCGAATTCGACAGTGAAACAGTGAAACCATTCTAGATGAACTCAGTGTTGAGGCAGCTGGAAGCCCCAAGAGTTTCCCAGGTGTTTCAGCCCCAGCTTGGCTCCAGGGGCTCCACAAAGTGCCACCAACTTGCATCACTCGGCTTGGTGCGCCTGCGGGAACGCTGTGAAGTGAGATTGGTGTGAAATGATGAACAATGTGGTACTCCTAAAATCCAGATGGTGTACAACCTCATTTTCCTTGGCATAGAAATGAATTGAGTCTACTCCCCGTTTTGGAGCAATCGATATGTTGTTTAAGATGCCTGGGTAGACCTTGTTGCTGCTGGGTGTCAGAATTGGCAATGGCAACGGTACAGTCTATTGTGGCAGCGATGTAAGATTCAATGGGGAGCCTTTGGACCTGACGAGTCTAAAGCTGTTGGGACTATCGGAAGACATGAACATCAAACCAGAGAAGCCTAGATATCTAGCCAGAGATTTTGGCATGTTCCAAGTATTTCAGTAGTTTTCTTGAAGAACTGGCTGGTAATTTCCAAGATTATGGTGATGGTAAATTTGATCTTGCTGATGAAGATTCTGATGATGACAACTGGTTGACTTGTATATATAGTCACACGATGTCACACGTCTTATTGAAGCCATTTTGCAACCACCAGCTGTCTTCATGGGCGCAAGATGGCGCAAGCACATCTGATTTCTGGCTCCAGGTGGCTCTCCAAGCAGAGTCCTTCCAAGATCTCCAAGCAGCGGGCCCTCGCCCTGGCACAGCGAGCCGTAGGGAAGCTGCAGGACTTCAAAGTCAAAGAGCGCTTGGGACTGCCAGGGGATGCTGTGAAGGTGGAACCCCACCAAGAAAATGGAGATGAACTTGGGGTAACAGGATGAGTAGTTTGTGATACATTTCAAGTTTGAGTAATCTTGTGTTGTTTTTTGCAGTAAATGGATACTCTGATGGGGATCTACACTCACCAGCTAAACAAACAATATCAAGTTGGGAAGGTGCAAAAGATCGGCCCTGGGATGGGGGATTCATCACGTTTGATGTTGTATGGTTACCTCACAACGATCAAGTCCCCTTTATCATGACGAATCTGGGAGAACTTCAAGGGGGCCTTCCTGCTGGAGGGTAAGCATACCAGCTAGGAAGTGGATTTCTGGCTGGTGGTTTGAAACATGTTTTTCCATATATTGGGAAGAATCATCCCAATTAACTAATATTTTTCAGAGGGGGTGAAACCACCAACCAGATTAAATTAAAACAGGTATTTTTTAAAAAAACAAAAAAGCACATGTATATATTTATATATGTATATTATAATACGTTTACAAAACATCATATTGCATCCCAGTTGTTCAGCGATTATGTATTTACATGTAATTCTTGGAATTCATATACATTGCGTCCGAGTTAGTCAGTGGTTATGTATAATGTTATTGTTACATGATGTTATGCTATGTTATGCTAGTATTTTTACATATATATATATGTATATGTTGATGATATATGTGTATATATATATATATATAATACATACAGACGTTTGAATCAAACTCTTCCAGGACTTTTTTGTGAACTAAGGCTGGTGAGTCTCCTGAGATCATTCAGCTCCATGCTGGTGCGGGAAGCGCGGGAAGCGAAGCTATCGCTGGGTTTTAGTCATGGGGATTTCCCTTGTCATGGGGGTACCCCAATAGCTGGTTGGTCTGCTTGGTTGATTTTGATTGGAAAATCCCATAACAAAAATGGATGAGAACTGGGGTAGCCCTTATGACTTAGGAGACCAACATATTCATTGGGATTGGGAATCATCAATCCAGGGGAATCATCAATCAATATGGGATTGGAATAATATACTGATCATTTTTTTGAACCATTGGAATTTATCCCGTTCATGATGGTGACATGATAAACATACCCCATGAAAAGCCATGCTTTGACCACGGCTATGCGAAATGCTGGTCAAATCTGGTTGAATCATCTATCATCCTCCCATCATGGCCGGATCCGGAGATTACAGGTCGAAACATGTGAGTTGGGATGGTAAATCTTGGCGAAACATGCTGGGATCCTGACTGTGTTTCGCCAACGTCGCCAAATCTTCAAAATCCAACGTCACCAAATTCGATGGGATGAAGATCTTCAAATTCCTGGGGGAAATGTTGGGGAAATGTAAACCGTGCTGCAATAACGTACTTGGATGACCTCACCATGCAATGTTTAACTCCCAATTTTTTGTTGATTTTATTTCCAATTTCCCACAAGGTGGTGCCCCAGGTGAACTAGTCTTCATGATGAGTACAACTATAGTTAGAGCTTATGATAGGTTAACTCAATTTAATTAGGGTTTATGGCGAATATACAGATTAACATAGATTACATTATGATAAATTATTCTTAATTCATGTTGGCTATGTTAGTCAGAGAACCAAATCAGCAGGGCTTCCAGCGTAGCAGGGCTATGGGTGGTGAAACACACTTTTTCCACCCGAGCACTGATACAAAACAAGAAATAGCCGTTATGTGTGAAAGTACTTGTCCCGTGGTCATGGCAGATGCCCATTTATAATTAGGGCGGGAAAAACAAATCTTGCTTCCCTTAGGCTCACTTGTTTGCTTAGTTTCAACTCTTTTGGAATGTGTAGAATGAGAAGAGGCCTCGGACGGTGCAAGGTAAATGCTGGTGGACACAATGTTTGGGGGTCATTATAGGCCGTCGTCGTCCGCGGGTGTCTTCGAGTCGGCTATGAACCAGCTAGTTTTAGGCATTGTTCCCGACAGAAGTGGACACAGAAGACAGCGCGGCAAGCTCAGCAGTATATAAATGTATACTACGTTCATTGATCATGTGGTTGTCCGTGTGTGAGGCCCTGAAAAGGTTTTTAAGTTTGATCTTTCTAGGTGCTGGGAGAAAGGCTTTATTTCTTGCCATCAGCATGTGACGATTTCTTCTTTTGAAAGATTCTTCTTCTCCCGGTGAAAGGATTCCTCCTTCCCGGCGCCGGGTTGGGAGGATTCTCTTTTTCCCGGCGCCGGGTCTCGCTCCCGGCGCCGGGGTCTCCCTCCCGGTGCCGGCGGCGGCTCTCCTCCCGGCGCCGGCTGAAGCCTTCCTCCTTTCGCAGTGTGGGGTGGAAGCTTTCTTCTCTTGCTGGCAGAAAGACCAGCAACCGCGGCGACATACAGTATGTTTGCTGCTGAGCTCAGGGCGTCAAAGTCTTCATTCCCTTCTAACGGCGCCAGGGTGACGAGGAGCGCGTTTCGATTCAACAATGACACCCGGATACTCGAAATTCAAGGCGCAGATCAGCTTTAGCGTGGAGAGATGTATTTCGGCCATGAGACGGAGGATAATTAAGGAACAGCAACGCTGCTGACTGTTGCTAGCTTTCCGCTTCCGCGCCTACACATCGCCCTATAGGTTTCTACGGGGCCTCCTGCTATGTCGGCAGCAGACGGACGCCTACCCTGCCATTTTGAAAATGTATGTATGTACGCTTTTCAATATTCCTTCACAGTCGCACCTGCACCAAGACGGGGATGAAATAAATTCCGGCCACTGCGCGCCAATTTTCAGTGCAAATTTTCATTTTTGAAAACGTACGAAATCACCTCGCACAGCCCCGATGGCTTGGCTCCACCCACTGCCCCGCTCAAAGGGCTAGCGGCGGCCTTCCTCCGAATGCCCCGTTCAAGCTCCTTACTCGTACAAGATTCAAATCTTCCTCCCAAAGCCCCGAACGAACCATTTCCACCCAAAGCCCCGATGAAACCATTCCACCCAAAGCCCCGATGAAAAATTACGCGCAAAAACGGTTAAAAAAACAGCAAAAAAAGGCGTTTTTCTCGTTTCTGGAAAGGGCCTAGATGCTTCCCAAGTCTCGGCTGAAGGGCCCGCGGCAAGGACTTGCTTGAAAACCCCTTAGGACTGGATGGCGGCATGAAGCAATCTTGAATACTACTTCTACTACATCGGCACTAATGCAAGCCTAAAAGGCTTGAGGTCACGGGGTTTTCTTTCATTCCATCTGGTTCTGCTTCTTGCATCAACGCGTCTGCCAGGCATATATGGAAGCAATGCAGAAACAGACTCTGGTCCCTGTTCTGTTCCCGTTTGAGACATGCAAAGTTCAAGGTCCATCGTAGCAATGTTCTTTTTCAACCAGCGTTGTGCTAAGCTTTGGCACCCAAGCCGCTGCTCCTGTTTGCTCTTTGCTGTGGCCTCTGCCTTTCTAGGGCTGGCCTGTTTTAATTTCCCGCTTAGCAGGCTTAGCAAATGAAAATGGAATTGGTAGTGTTCTGCAAGCCGTGCTTGAAACAGCTACAGGACTGAGCATGAGGGTTGAATGAGAGGGCATTGCTGCAGCTTGCTGCTCCCAGTGGCTCGGGCGTGCCTTGACGGCAAGCTTCCCCAAGTTGAGAGCTTTCCCCATGAAGGCAAGGATTCGAACGCCCGTGGTGAGTTGCCATCTTGACGAAGGCAACTGCCGCTAATGCTCTATATGTTGCCTGCGTTATCCGCGGCGTGCCCAGCGCGGGGTCGACTGTGAAATATGGCAAAGGGCGTTTCGCATGCTACTGGCATGGTTGTCGTCGCAGGAATTGCAGGGAACATTGCGAAAGAAACAGGTGGCCACTGAGATCAGGTTGTACATACGGCTTCATACATGTTGATTTCCACAGGTACATGCTGTTGAAGTAGCCCCCCCAGGACAAGAAGTGCCCAAGCGAAGGCTAAGGATTTGCTAGTGCTCACTTGCATGGGTCTGTTCTGTATTGGCCATTGCTTGTCATAAAACAAACTTACATTGCAATAGCAGAGGTTGTGGTTGAACCACCTACATGGGGTCTTGACATGTGTTCCGGTAGAAGATTCAGTGAACGTTTGCAAGGCTATTTAATCAGAAATATCTGTTCAATGTAGCTAGGTTGGAAACCCCCCAAGCCCCGCTCCACCCAGTGCCCTGCAAATTCTTTCCTCCAAGTTAGTAGCGTATAAACCAACCGATTCCAGCAACTTCCCGCGGCATCGCCAGGTGTCGGATCCCACCCTCTTCGGCCGCGCCGCAGAACGCCTGGTTTTGGACACGGGCACCACGGGGATGTTGCAGACGCAGGCCGCTGGAATCTGTGGAGTTGGAACTGAAAAATTGTAACCAAGTCCTTGGGGTTGACTTGAGATTTTGGACTTCTCCACCTAAGTTGGGATTTGAAACCCAAAAGAGTGTGGATATATAGTTTTTAACATATTGTTGATTGTATTATATTCCGATGATATATATATATTATGTATATAATTCAATTATACTTCATCATATTCGCATGTTATCCCAATTAATACCACCATTATTGTGTGGTTAAATCATTCATGTTTCTACCATGCTTAGAGGATCATGCCACTTAGTAAGTGGTTGGTAACTCGGTTTATCCATTTATAAATGGGATAATCATACTGAATGGGGACTTACCAGGGATATGAACGAGGACCGTGGTATGCCACTATAAACATTAAAGAAAAAAAACACATTAAAACACGAATTATATCTTTCGTTAGATTCCCACGATATTCCCATGATTTGTCTGGTTTTTCATACATGTGTTCATGATATTCCCATGATATTCCCATGATAAACCATCCATATTCCATACCATTGCTGCGTTTTTCATCTCCACAGCACCGCCAGGAATTCGCCAACCTCGCCTGGGCCTTTGCATCCACAGGAACGGGGTTTCATGTCCTGGTGGATCATCGTATACCAATGGGTTAATAAGCCATTCGTAAGTCCCCATTGAAATGTGGGATTCTGCCATTTATGGATATAGTCTCTGGTAAACTAAGAGTTTGCGAACTGGAGAATCACCATCTTTAATTACGGTAAAACGACGAACTAAATGCGCCATGTTCAATAGCAAACTGTCAAATTACCAGCGGGTAGTGATCCACAGGATGGAAACATAAAAATGTGTAGCCCTATTTTTGTGTGCGATTCTACTTTTCTATTTGTTTGGGGATTACATTAATGTATGATTATGAGAATGTAAAATGACTCTATGATGATGAATGATTATAGAACTGATAATCAACTATGATCAATGATAGTGAGTATGAATGAATGACAAAGCATCTAAGGATACCTTTTAGGGTTAAAGGATTTAGGGTTACAAGGTTTTAGGGCTGAAGGATTTAGGGCTAAAGGTTGGACAAGCAAAAGATTCCCTGCAGTAACAAAGTATGTTTTAGACACCGAGCGTGCCTGGTATTCGACCAGATGCATCCTCCCTCTGTCCTTGGCGATATCATTCACTTAGTCAGAACATGGTGTAAGACCCTTGTGATTCGCGATGTCTTGGTTCCCATAAGTTATATCATTGTTATATTCATCGCTATATATATATAGATAGATTAATTAGATAGATATATTAATTGGATAGATTAATCAGATAGATATATTAATTAGATATATAGATAGATTAGATAGATAGATAGATAGATAGATAGATTAGATTAGATTAGATTAGATTAGATAGATAGATAGATAGATAGATTACATATGTATTTCACATTCACTGATTCCATGCCAATTTTGAATGGCGGCGTAGCTGATTGCCAGCAGAGCAGATTGCTATTTGTTGAGAGGCTGGTGTCTCCTAGGCGTGCATGTGTCAAAATGAAGATGCTCAGCAGATTGGATGGTTACGACAATTGCGCACATGCTCAAAATCTACAGTTGTTAGATGTTTTCTTTGGTTCTCTATAAGTGCATACATGTTCAAAGGCCCATATGTTGTTGGTCTAATTCCAAAGCATTATCCCTTCCTCAGGGTGGTATCCTCAGAATACGTTTGGTCACCTATGTTAATTTATAATCTATATTTACTTGTGTATGTAGAATACCTTTATTAAAATATATACATATAAATGGTCTACATATGTATATTTTGATATGCATATGGAAGTGCAAGCTGTGCTGTGCCAGGCTCCAACACTCAAATCTTCCCAGCCATTCAACGTGCTTTGGTGCAACGGGGACAAGCACCTCGCACCTGATGGGAGGCAGTGGAAAAATCCATGGATTTCGCTGTTAAAGATGAAGGATGTTGGATTCCGGAATCTGAAAAACTTACTTGCAATTTGTTGTGAGTCTATCCTGCATCAATGTCATTGACGCACTTCGATCATCCAAGATACGAAGAGTTGCCGAGGCATGTGATGTTTCGGAGCTTGCAGCGACTGGAAATCACTGGTTCAAGCAGCTCTGGGACCCCTGGGGCCATGGCGGCCATGGCTGACACATGATGGCTAAGGCTGTTTGCTTGGCAGAATTGTTTCTTCACCTTCACCAGGACATTAAATCTGCCTGGCTAGATATTATGTGAGTGCATATATTCAAGAGAAAGTATCTCGATGAGACCAGAAAGATTTCACAAGCTATCAGCAAGAGAAACACCCAGAGCCCACCGCGGCCTGACACCAAAGTGTGGCAAAGATCCGCTCCGAAGATGAGTTTGAGCGGTTTACGGTTCCGCCATGGATTTCGCTTGCAACATGTGGTCCTTTGTCTGAGTTGCCTTCTACTTTGGCAGAATCACATCCTCACTGGATGGTGTGGCCCACGAAAAACCACCTGGAGGTTGCTCTTGTCCCGGCAAGCACATGGCAACGCAAAGGACGCTGAGTTGGCGAATCTTCGGAAGCGGGAGCTGCTGGAGATTTTGAACGGCTACGATGTGGCCACCGATGGATTGACGAAGCTTCAGCTGATCGAGGCCATCAATGCAGTAAGGGCCACAGCAGGGCATCCCGTGGATTTCGTGGATGCTGAAGAGTTGCAGATGTCCCAGCGCCGCATTGCGGAGATCGCGATGGAGGATTGGCAAAATGCCACCACTGTTGGATTTGACTGCAAGGCGGGTCGCAGGGCAGAAGATGGCGTTGACTTTGACATCATTGGTCCAGATGGAAGGCTCCAACACACCGTGAGTTTTAGACACACTTGGCCTCCGACATGTAGCTGCGCTGCTGCACAAAGTTGGGGCAGCCAGAAACGCTGCAAACATGTGTGTCCTGGCTGGCTTAGATGGTTGAGATGGCATGTGGATGTCTGGGTGATGTTTGGGAGCCTCAAGCATTTTACTGTACCATCCAAGAATAGGATTAACATATATAGATGAATGATATGAATGTCGCGAATCTGGGAGTTGAAGCATCCAAACCTTGAGGTATCCGTATGGCTCAAAAACTATTGACCGCTCATTTTGGGGATGCTTATATAGCCATCATTAACCATCATCCAGTGATTAGGAGGGAGCAGTTCGGAACTAGGGGTATCCCTAGTCCCCATTCAATGGGAGCAAAGGAGCTACTAAGAGTTTCTCAACTGCATGATAGTAATCCCAATTATTTCTCTACTTTTATTGCTTAAATCCCATCGAATCACCATGTTTTTTTTCCTTAAATCCCATGAAATCACCATTTTTTGTCGGAGATATCTCCCAGGTGTATGATTCTGGTGAAGTGTGGCGTGCCCTACGCCTCCGTTGCGGATGCCCAGTGGTCCCCCGCTGCGGCGGAGGTCAGTAGCATTGTGGATCACCAGCTGGGACCCTGGACGCCTATTCCGCTGGCGTAGTCCAAAAGATGGGCAGTCTGAGCTGATCTGAGAGTGGCTCATGCCCAGAGTCTAGAATCCTGGTATATGGGTATGGATCAATACCTATGAAAATAGCATTTTTAGGGGGATAAACATCCATTTTAACCCAGCTATTTTGATGTGAACTACAGGGGTACTAAAGGTTTTGACACACTGCCATATATATATATATATACAATATAATAAGATATACTGTAATATGTATATATATATATCATATTATAGATACATATATGGATGTGTGGTGGTAAGGGCCAGGGCTCCCTTTGCAATTTTTATTGGTGAATCCAGTGAGACGGGGCTCCAGCCGATATGCTTTGGGGTGTGTGAGCTATACATTCCTATACGATATTCCCCCATTATTTTATAGGACCCAAGTTGGAATATCAATTTAATTTAAAGTTATACATTCCAACTTGATCCAACTTGGTTCTTTCAATTGTCCCATGTTTAAACCATCATTTTGACCTATGTCATGTACCACTTCTGTAACTGGAGGCTGTGACTTGAACGCTTTTAAGACCCACCAGGCTGTATTAAGAAGTATGACAAAAAAAGACAAATACTGGCCATTGTTTCAGCAATCAGGGGATTGCTCGGTCACCAAACCTTTCAATGTGCACGTCTCCTGTAAAGTAAACCCAGTGTCATAAACCATTCCCAAGTCATCACCAATGTCTATGGGTACCATCCCCAGTCATGGTGGTAGTTCTTTAAGGCAGCCAGGGGTTCCCACATGATCGAGGCAGCAGCCTTCGTCGAGTCTAGGAATTTGGCGTTATGCACAACCCAGTATATCCCCATAGTATCCCCGATGCTTCCATGAAATCCCCATGAAAAAAAAACATTAGATTAGTAAAGCAATAGTAATTATAGAGATCCACCATCCCCAAGGTTTACCTTATGTTTTATGGTATTTTTTTTGGTATATGGTGGTATAAACTTTATACCATCGAAAATGTGGTGCTTTGTTGCTTTAACCAACATGAAATCCCTACGTCCGAGGCCTTGGTGGAAGATGGAAAGAGTGTTGAGGATGATCCTGTCGCACGAGACTATGCGGAAGGGATGTTTCTTGGTGGATTGGGTATATAGATCCTTATAGATCCTGATAGATTATTTGTGTACTATATATATATATTAAAAGTAGATAATTATAATTGTAGATTATTGCCATTGTAGATTATGATAGCTTATATGAAATAACTATGAGAGTTTGGAACATGCTAGAACCTTAGAGATAGAATCTCTAATATAATCTGGATTGTGGTTGTAATTATGACAATAACTATATCCTGTGGATCCAGCCGTAGGTTCTTGGGAAGTTTTTGGGACATAATTTAGGGGGGCAGGTACCTTCGGAGAAAGTTGTTCGATCTGTAGGGATGTATATATATATATACATTTATTGAGAATGATAATTGTATATGTATTGATAATGGTGGATGGAATTTCTGTCTCTGCTTAATGACATGGTAATTTTTATGGGAATTGGTCCAACCATTTTTTGGTAGTTTAACCAACATGTTTTTCTTGGTGGGTTAACTTACGTGACCATTTTGGGTTTTAACCAACGGCTCGATAGGGTTAACCGTTAATGACGGGATATAGTTGTTGTCTTATATCACCGAACATCTTATGGCATATGATCTGGGTAAATGATGTTGCCACCTTGCATCGCTCTACGTAAAACATGCTATTATGCAATCTTATCATAGTGGACATTGATGGGATGTATCATATATACTATGTATACATATATAATTATATATATATGTTATATACATCCCATAATAATGATAGGATTTGGGGTTAACTCTCCCAATTCATGGCCGGACATTTCCGGTTTTCTCGTTTTCTCCAAGGCTTGGCGTGGTGTGGTCACTGAACTATGCAGGGCTGTTGTCCCTTGGAATGTGATTATTTGTGCCTTTGAATATGAAGCATATATTATGCAACAACCTTTGTAGTATCACACAGCATGTTTTATGATCTATGTGTGTGACATTCTATGAATGTATATACATATATACATATATATATATTTAATATGAAGTAATATGGACTAATACGCGTATATGCGAATGTGTCTCTTTTGATGATTTTTGAGGTATTTGTTGATTATTATTTTTTGACTATTGCATGACATGGATTGGCACCAAAATTCCAAATGCTTCCCAGTCCAGTACTTTCTCAGTTTAATTGCGTTCCTTCTGCCAGCTATTCAGAAAATACGGGCCCAGAGTGAACATAGATACAGATGATGCAGTAAATGTCAGATATCAAGTAGGCTTGTGAAAGTAGTCCTGAAGTACCACTGTTGGTTCTTAGAAGATATGTTATTTGATATTTGAATCCCTCTGTGACATGATTCCAGTTGACACCTCCGAAGCCCAGGTCTGAAGCGTTCCTAAACTTTGCCACCTCCACGTTGTGGCTCGAACGAAGAAATCCCACAGAAATATATACACGACGGATCTTGCTTTGCTAATGGTTTAGTAATGTTGGCTAGTATGGTATAGACATAGAAATATATACATGGCCCGGTCATGGTCATGGCCGGGCCTGCAAATCCGCCGTATGCTCTGTAGATTCGCATAGATATGAGTGATTCATAGCCAATTGCGCAGACTTTTTCGGACAGGAAACATGGTTCGTCATCAGAATCGAAGAAATGAAGTTCAACTATATAGCAGAATCATTCTAAGATGTGTCTTCAAATGTGGGTTAAGAAACTATATCAGAATCATTCTAAGATGTGTCTTCAAATGTGGGTTAAGAAACTATATCAGAATCATTCTAAGATGTGTCTTCAAATATATCAGAATCATTCTAAGATGTGTCTTCAAATGTGGGTTAAGAAACTGTAAGAAATCATTCTAAGATGTGTCTTCAAAATTTCTAAGGTGTCTTCAAATGTGGGTTAAGAAACTATATCAGAATCAAGATGTGTCTTCAAATGTGGGTTAAGAAACTATATCATCATTCTAAGATGTGTCTTCAAATGTGGGTTAAGAAACTATATCAGAATCATTCTAAGATGTGTCTTCAAATGTGGGTTAAGAAACTATATCAGAATCATTCTAAGATGTGTCTTCAAATGTGGGTTAAGAAACTATATCAGAATCATTCTAAGATGTGTCTTCAAATGTGGGTTAAGAAACTATATCAGAATCATTCTAAGATGTGTCTTCAAATGTGGGTTAAGAAACTATATCAGAATCATTCTAAGATGTGTCTTCAAATGTGGGTTAAGAAACTATATCAGAATCATTCTAAGATGTGTCTTCAAATGTGGGTTAAGAAACTATATCAGAATCATTCTAAGATGTGTCTTCAAATGTGGGTTAAGAAACTATATCAGAATCATTCTAAGATGTGTCTTCAAATGTGGGTTAAGAAACTATATCAGAATCATTCTAAGATGTGTCTTCAAATGTGGGTTAAGAAACTATATCAGAATCATTCTAAGATGGGTCTTCAAATGTGGGTTAAGAAACTATATCAGAATCATTCTAAGATGTGTCTTCAAATGTGGGTTAAGAAACTATATCAGAATCATTCTAAGATGTGTCTTCAAATGTGGGTTAAGAAACTATATCAGAATCATTCTAAGATGTGTCTTCAAATGTGGGTAAGAAACTATATCAGAATCATTCTAAGATGTGTCTTCAAATGTGGGTTAAGAAACTATATCAGAATCATTCTAAGATGTGTCTTCAAATGTGGGTTAAGAAACTATATCAGAATCATTCTAAGATGTGTCTTCAAATGTGGGTTAAGAAACTATATCAGAATCATTCTAAGATGTGTCTTCAAATGTGGGTTAAGAAACTATATCAGAATCATTCTAAGATGTGTCTTCAAATGTGGGTTAAGAAACTATAAGAGAATCATTCTAAGATGTGTCTTCAAATGTGGGTTAAGAAACTATATCAGAATCATTCTAAGATGTGTCTTCAAATGTGGGTTAAGAAACTATATCAGAATCATTCTAAGATGTGTCTTCTTAAATCTAAGTTGGAACCAACGTTTGTCTTGCCCAAAAATAGGACATGTCCCACCGAGGAAGCGGCTGACTGGCAGTGCAGCGCAGTTGGCTGAGTCCTGGCCCAGGTCGAAAAACGATCGATGCCATGTCACTCGAAAGTTTTCTCGGATAGCAATCATCACATTGGGAAAATGTTGCTTTTAATGGTGGTAAAATTTGGGATTTGATGTTGGTTTAATGTTTTTTTTATGTTTTTTTTTGTGTAAACTGTTTACATAGATGTGGAAAAACGATGGTTTCCACAGGACAATAATTAGTCTATAAGCGGTTGAATTTTCCAGATCTATGTTTGTTTACCCTAGGCTAAGTCACCATGTCATTTGAATTTTGATTTAAGGGAACTAGCTAGCTAGCGTGCTTGTGGCGTCACTTGACACGACTGTGATACCTGGTAAACTCAGGGGGACTGTGCTGTTCATGAGGCCAACAATGGTTTGCTTTTCATGAGGATGTTTACGAACCAGCAAAAAGGACCAGCAAAGATTATCTTGGGTATCCCAGATTGGTAATGGCTATCTTTTTGACACTGAGAAAATGTGAACGTGTACCGACTGTTGTTGGATATCAAGCCTGTAAAAGTATGTTTATCATTATCATTGTTTATCCGGTATCTGCCATTCTGTTGGTGCTATACAGGTATTGACCCATCCCATTTACAATGCCAAATTTCCTGTCATTGGTGAAATCTCGATGTTCATCCACAAGTCATGAAGGATTCATGGCGTCTATATATTACAGTATAATATGTTTAGATATAGTAATTATGACTATATGGCGTCATTACATATGATATATTACGTTACAATACTAACTAATTAGTAGTTGTAACATATACTGTATGTCAATTCATGACATATGTTATATTACGTTACAATACTAACTAATTAGTTAATTAGTAGTTGTAACATATATGTCAATGACTAAAGTCATTTTGAATTGCTATCTTTAGTCTTGACATGAATCTTTTGCATCTGCTTTCTGGTTCATTCATAACGACCTCACCACGATCTCGCTGAAAAAAATGTAAGATGATGATGATACGGTGATCAACACTAGGTAAGGGGAGAACATCCCCCAAATTGCCTTGTTTTAGCTTGGTGAATCACTTATAAACTTATACTATATATATATGTACATAGAAATAGAAACTAAACTTCTAAATGATATGTGTTATCCCATGTTATCCCCAATTTTCGCCAATCACTCGCCACCGTTGTTTCTTTGGCAGGACAAGCTGCAGCGATGTAGCGGCGGACGCTCCTTGGGTGGTGGTGGAAAGTCGCCAGGCGATGGTCCTGCTGAAACCTGCAGGTGCGGGTGCCGGGACCCCATGGGGATACGGAGTTGTCCATGCAAACTGTCCCAGAATATGGAAACATGACGGACACATGTAGGGATAGCTTGTTGGAAAGTGATCAATTGATTTGGGGTTTGGATACTGGACTTTCAGCCAAGATCAGCCAAGCTATACCCTCTGGTAATTTAACATAGCTATTGAAAATGGCCATTTATAGTTGATTTACCCACTAATAATGGTGATTTTCCATAGCGATGTGAGTTTTTACCAGAGGGTACTTGACTTTCAGCCAAGATCAGCCAAGCTATATTTGAAAAAACGTTTCGGGGGGGTTCCCTTCTTGGACCGTGGCTTGGATCCACCAAAAACACCGCCAGGTTGGCAGGTGGACGATGATGACCAAGTCCTGTCAGATGATGTGTGGTCTTTGTCAACTTTCGTGGCTTGACCACGAAGGTGGTGGGATATTCATGGCATACTAATGGAATATTATGGAATATTACCCTCTGGTAAACTAACATAGCTATGGAAAATGGCCATTTATAGTGAGTTTTCCCATGAAACATGGTGATTTTCCATAGTTATGTTAGTTTACCAGAGGGTATGGGATATTAATGGATATGAATGGATTTGATCCTCCGGTAATGAAACATGGAAAATCCCACTCTGTCGAAAGAAGAATTGGAACATGTCACGTCATCTGCAAATGGATGATTTTCCAGATAACAAAATCGTGATTGCCACTGGGTATATTCCTGACGTTTTTTCTTATTCCGTTCTTTTATCAAATTGTGATATAATACATAATTGTCCATCATAAATATGTATATATATATATATATCCATTTTATATACGTATATATAAGTATATACATACGCCCGTTGTTGTCTCATTATATCCCATCATATCCCCATCACATCTTCATTATATCCAATATCATAGTCCCATTATATCTCCATTCTGTTCTCTTCTTTTGAAGCTTGGTCTTTCTACTTGCAGGTGTTCCAGGTACGGGATATAGAACCAATATAACCCTCTTAAAATATCTTAAAATCCATTAAATACATGAATTCCATGAAATCACAAAAAATATGGTACACTTCCCATTAAAAATAGATGTTTCAAATTTAATATTATATATATATATCTGGGTATATATGGTTAGTAAGGGAAATCATCCCCAAATGGCCTTAATTCAGGTTAGTGAATTATTATAATTTACCCAGATATATATGTACCATTACGAATCACCATGAATTCACCAAAATCCTGAGCTTGGGAGCTTGGCATCGACCAAAAAAGGTCTCGCAGATGCTGCCGTTGCGGCGCTGTCCGCTGATCGGCGCCTCGTTTGAGGACACTGTAGGGTATATGACTATGGATTACAGCTATAGTTGTTAAATGTTATTAAAAACCAGGTTGTGGTCAGAAGAACAAAAAATAGGGTCCTGGGAGGGCTCGGTATATATATATATACATGTACATAGTTGGCCAATAAACCCCATCAACTGCATACTGTATGAGTAACCGACAAATTTATTGTACCAATTTGGTTTTGCTTTGCATTGGCGTTGCGGAGGGGTGTGCAAAACCTTCATTACTGATAGGGGACGACCCTACTTTGCGCATGGCATTAAAATGAACAAGTAATTTTGTCCACTATTCATATATAATTATATATATACACATACAAATATATATATATATACACATTATATTCATCATCCCCACTAAAACCTCCATGTCTAATGATTTAAAGTGGATTTCCCATTGCCATGTTTGATTGCTGGAGGGTATTCCCAGTATATCCCCATCCCAAGGTGCCAAGCCCTTTAGCCGCGGCTTTTTGCATCGACTAGATGTGCCGACGTCAGGCGGGATGTTGTCGCTGAGGTTGTTTGAAAAGATTGTTTTTTCAGGCCCTAAAAAACAAGAAAAAACTTAGGGAAGTTCAGCAGCATCTGGATTGAACTTCTAAAAATGTTGGGGATGAATAGACGATTTTTCATGATGGCCATTCAACTAGCTGAACTGTGGTTTATGATTACTATAGCTATAGATGGGGCCATAGGGTAGCAAAAATAACAGTGGAGCAGCTTGTGGTTTCCATGCTACCTGGGATGATTCTACACACAGGAAATGATTTCAGGCATGTGCTTTGTTGCTTGATGGTTGCTGATGGAGGAGCACATGTGATAAGTGTAGTCATGTATAATCATGTTCTATTTCCATAGCTTGCCAGCCTTGCTAGATTGGAACATAACCAGAGCCGCCTACAACTCCAACTGGTGCAAGTAAAATGGGACGGCGTCAAATGTCAAAGCCTTTGTTTCACCCATATTTGGGGGGTTAAATCAGAACTACCACCTATTTGGAGCTCACCATGTGAAGGGGTCCAATGAGCATATTCAAGATGTCAATATGCCAGGTATATCTCGAAATGTCCCAAGCTCATTCGTTTCTGTTCTGCAAATGATGGATGGATATGGTATATCAGGCAGTATATATATATATAATTATATATATATAATTATATATATATATATGCATGGACATCTATACATATAGCATCTACACTACATGCTGTTTGCCTCTGGCCCTGGATATGCCCAGGTTTAATCCTCGTGGCCAAAAGCGTCTCGTCCTTCTACGACTTGCGATTGCAGTTGGCCAGCGGCCGGCTCCAGCGGGACCCGGTGGATGATTGGATCTAGTGATGTCGAGTCTTCCACTTTTGGCCATCGGGAATACCCTCTGGTAAACCAACATAACTATGGATAATCACCATTTTTAATGGGAAAATCCACTCTAAATGGCCATGTTCAATAGCTATGTTAAATTACCAGAGGGTAGATGAAGTGACAGTGACTGCTCAAACTCTCCGCGCAGATGAACTTTTGGTGAGTGTATCTTAGATTGGCCATGATCAACGGCAACGTACAGATGTGTTTTTTTTTCTGCAATGCAAGTTGGCAATTTGGTGTGCTTTGATGAATTGTGATTCAAGGATTTGGCTTATATAACTGTTTGGTTGAGGTCATCATGTGTGTTTTGATCTGTGGAAATCTTCGAAACTTTTAAAAGTCTTAAATGTATACAGTAGATAGCATAAAATCTAAATACACATGTGTATAGAGTTGTTTGTAAACTCCGGAGTGGTCAATTTCTGATCCCCATGTCCAGAGGTCGCTAGTGTGATGACTTTTAGAATTAGTCCATGATGGTCCTCATTGTTTTTGTTTTGCTCCGTGTAAAGAGAGTATGTTTCCTCAGATGCAAACTTTCATTATAGCAACACCAAAAAGATAGAAGGGTAACTTATCACTATTCGAATAGGATGTTACTTTTTCTATTTTTTGGAGGTTGCTATACCTTAAAACTACAACGTAACCTGAAGGGTCCCCACTGATGTCCCCTGTTGCCATGAGATTCCTATGCACATCCCAGGCTAAAGGGGTTTCTTGCACCTGCGTGATACAGGGAAGGCACTAAATTCACTAAATGGATCCCTTTTAGATATAGACTCTATCAGTCTCTATAACACACATATACACAAATAATCATATATAATCATATATATATATATATAGTATGTGTATGTATATATATAGTATGTATATATAGTATATATATATAGTATGTGTATATATATATATAGTATGTGTATAATTGTGTATATATATATTCTATACTACAGTATGCTCCGATAACGTGTCAGGACTACCAAGCCCTTTGCCACGGATCCCTTAGCCCCTCCCGTCACGAAGTGCGGGCAGCGGTCCACTGGTGGTCCGATGGTCGTAGCAGCAGCAGCTCCATCGGATGGCGCCTTGGAGTGGGACCAAGACATCCATAGGAGGTTCTCAACCATCAATAGGAGACATATGATGGGAATTTATGGGATATACATGGATATACTACATAAGTAATGTATAGTAGTGTGCCTATGAGTAGATGTATACATATATATATATATATATATAATCAAGAATATGGGATATAACCATCAATAACAGGATATGCAGTAATGGAAATATCATGCGGAATTCATGAAACAAGACTATTGGGATTGATATGAGCAACTTGATACATAATAGGGTATACCACGGAGGAGTGGAGGTAAGGATTTTTTCTCAAAAAATGGGTGGAAACTGAAGGATCTTCTAATGTCAAACCAAAGAAATGGGAGACGATTTGGATAGAGGATGGATACCCTCTGGTAAACGTTTACATAACTATGGAAAGATCCACCATTTTTTATGGGAAAATCCACTATTTCAATGGCCATTTTCAATAGTTTTTTGTATGTTTACCAGAGGGTACACAATATGATCTGGATTTGTCAAACATGGGAGATACCCAAAAATTGTGGTTATTTTCAGGAGGGAAACTGATGGTCCACCAGTCGATTTAAAGATACCCTATTTTTGAACACAGATGTTCCTTTGGATTTTGCCAATTGCTATAGTTAGAAGTTGCAAGTACAATCGAATATATACCATCAAACCTGGCGAGCATCCCTGGGCACATCTAAGGTTCGGTCGTCCATCCATCACCACCTACCGCCCTGGGGACCCCGGGGACCCCGGGACTTCTGGCGGGACGCTGCGTGGGCGCGGCGTGGCGCTGACAATGCGCTGCATTCGGATCGTCACCGGCCGAAAGCATCAGATCCGAGTGCATTCGGCACACATTGGGCACCCAGTGGCGTGGTTGGGTGAAACTCAGCATGAAACGGTGAGACTGAAACTGCCACTGGATCAGGAGTTTCATGCTAAAGTTTATGGAAAGAAATGGGCGTATGATGGCGTATGTATATATATATACGTATACAATATATTATATACATACATACTATATAGATATGATACTAGCCAGCTCAAAAAAGTATGTGTTTGCAGGGGTATCTATAATATTGACATTGGTTTCAGGACTGAGCTAATTTGGATGGGACGGTGGGTGATAGGCTGGCCCGGAGGATCCAGAGTCTAAGCACGGGATTCCAGCCAAAGTTTGAACAAAGGCCCTATAATCCGCAAGTAGAAAATGCTGGATGTGGGTCTACTTTCCTGTCACCTCAGCCCCTATTTTGATGCCTCAACTGGCAACCCAACTTCTTGAAAAAGATCTCAGGTGGTGTGCGACGGGAGATACTCTACAACAGCAACCTATCAGCTCGACCTGAATTGGTGTCCAAGAAATTTCTTGCACCGTTACAGCTTGCAGTTTTGCACCGATGGCACCACCATGACCGTGTCGCCGCTTGGACATTTGCCTTGCTTTCCTAAGCTGCTCTGCCTGAGTTTTTTAAATGGATTATCTATACGGTTGCCAAGATAAATGGTACCCTTTGAAGACAATATCTATATATATATTATAATGTAATTATATATAGATATATAATATCTATATACTTATCACATCTTATCACAAGGTTTTTCGCCACCAATCTTGCTTCTATTCCGTATGAAAATTGGAAAATTCCAATTTGCAGCTTGTTTTATAAATCGCGAGTTTCCGGTGATTCGGCCATGTTTTTGCGGTTTTGGGTGATATTCCCATGATTTTCCTATACTTTCCATGATTTTTCCCTATGTTTTGTCGTAAGGTCATCGCTGCCCAATGACCTGGCCGATGCACTCCGCCGTGGCTTCATGAAAAATGCTGAGTTCACCATGGTGCATCAAAAATGCTGATTTTAAAACCATGGTGATATCCATTGATTTATCCATTTATTTTTGGTTCCCTTTGAAGACCAACGGATTTGTTTGAGCATTTCTCCAATTTTTTGCTGATTTCACGGAATTGAATGGCAAAAAAATGGAGATATCCTTTGATTAGTTTGCCATGAACAATGGTGATATTATGGATACTTAAAGAGCTAAACAATGAACAATGTTTTCATGAACGAACCTTCATGTAAACCTCCATTTAGTTCGGGGATTTCCCAGCTAGCCATGTTGGATATGATATCCCATATATTTCCATTATACCACCATTTTGTTGGTTGTATTGTTGTAATACCACTATATCTCATATGTTCCCATATTATTTCCCATTCAAATCCCATGTCAATAGTTGGAATATATATATATATATGCAGTAATCCCATTATATTATATATATATATACACACCACATATTTTATAAGGGGTTCTCCCATATTTTTTGGAATATATTCTCATATTTATATTCCCATTCGGAATATATGCTCCCAGTCCCATTGAAACCTTCATTCTGGCGATGCCAGGTCAGCGAGCTGAGGCGGCCCTTCGACAAAGCTGCGGAGGTGCTGGGAGGTGATGGGAGGTGATGGGGAGTTGACCAAGGAAACGAAAGTTGACATGGTGAGTTTCCGTTGAAAAATGGTGATTTGTCATCAATGTACACCACCGCGTATCATCTGATGAGACTATCCAAGCATTGAGGTCACTGAAATCAGTGGCATGTCTTGATAGTCAAGCATGGCGAGCGTATGATGAAAGCCCAAAGACGGAAGCAACTAGGGGACGGGTCAAAACCTGTTGTGCATAGCTAATTGGGGGATTACCATCCCTTGCCCATGTTTTTTGTTTCGCCATGCTATCATCCATATCCCCATTGGGTTTACACACCATGTTTGTTTGGTTTTGTGCTTGGTTTATACCCCACTTAGTGATGCTTAAACTCCATGGTTGACGCTTTCCATCTGGCCAACATTTGCCCTTGCGATTCCTCAGGTGCTTGGCAAGATCAGCCGCTTGCGCGCTGAGCGGGAGCAACGAGATAAGGACAGTCACGAGAGTGGACTGGGATCCAGGCACAGTTCGCTAGGGATTGAAGCAACAAGACTTTCTGTGAACCCCAAAAAGGTCATGTCAGCAGAAAAACTGTGGAAACAAACTGTTTCTTGAGTCAACAAGACTAGGGGTTAAAAGGCTGTAAAACGAGGGATTGAATCAGCAAGCATGTATCACTGGCATAGATAAGCCGGAGGAAATTGGAAAACACCAACTAAGCCATGCTTCACTAAGATAGACTATTCAAGGATGGATGACACTCCACTTTTATAGGAGCCGGGGATCCAGGGATGACAAAATGGGGTCAGCTGCACTTTCCGAGAAAGACATGAGAACGGGTAGTGATACACAACTTTCTCTCAATCAATGGTCATATGTTGGTGGGTAGTTAGCTTCAGTGGCTGTTGGATGCGCAAAGACCTATGATCAAAGCAGTGAAGACCCAATCTCCCGGAGATATGACTAAGAATTGCATCGGGGATACAGATTTCCATGATTGATATCAATGTCACAGGGATGTCGATTTATCAATTATTGTGGTTGTTCTTTCAGAACGACATGTTTTGATATATGTTCATTTTCTTTGTATAAATACAGTCCTTTCGGTATGTATTATACTATACTTCACTGTACATGCAGAAAGTGAGAATTGGTTGTATTCATAAGATAGATAAAGATGGCCATGAACACGAGAAAGATGGGAAGGTGGCCACTACAACATACTAGACTAGCTTAAGTAGTACTGTGGTTAAATACTGGGATTGATCTCTGAAGCCAAGGATATCGGTGATTAGCTGGCTTCTTTGCCTTTCAAACGGGAAAAATATCCGAAGAATTGTTGGAATCATTGTGATTGGAAGATATACTGTGTGTTTTTCTTGGAATAGCTCAACAAAAACTATTCAGTAAGTAAGTCTGTGTATGATAATAACACGTACAGGTATAAGTATGAGTGTGAGTACAAGTACAAGTAATTATAAGTATAGTGAACATAATAAGAATCACTTATCACTCATTATGACTTATGATAGTCCCTAAAAACTGCCCATCCTTCAGGCTAAGTCCCCCTTTTGCACCAGGACTTTGAGATTCTGCAAGAAATCATGGGCCCTCCGCCCTCACCTGTGGCGCCCCCGTGCGGGCGCCAAAGAGGCAGAGATCTGAAGAACATCTGAGAATCTTAGATACACAGGAAGTGATAAATTTATATAAATTAAATGTTCTATTGAAGTTTCTGAGATGGGTGAAAATTAGAAGTATTGGATCACTTTAATCTCAAGATCACACTTCACCAACGGTTTTTGACAGAGGTGGCAGAGTTTGCAACACCTTCGCGGCGCATGTTCTGCTGAAAACATGTAAGAATGAACGAACAGAATCATAAAATCTGGAATCACTGGTCCCTACCGTACCTATGGTTTTGAACATGACAATTCCAATGAACTCTCCAGAATATACCCTTTGGTTATGACTAACAGTTCGCCATGGTATATATAGATGGCCCTAATCGAAATAGATGGTTTACCGACCTTAGAAATGGTGGATCTGTCCATGGCGAACTGTTAGTCACAACCAGAGGGTACATCACATCTATACACTGCCAAATCTTCGACGTTGCTACTCCCCGAGGCCGCCGGACCTACGGCACCGGGCGCGCAAGGCCGCTCGATTTTCTGTGGATGGTGAAAAGAAATCCACTTGGGATTAGGAAGGATTATCGAGGGTAAACACGAGCGTAAACATAGCCCTTCATAATCCTTCATAGGAATTCCCAATAGTTGCCTTAACTGGATCCAACTGGTATTTTTTCCATCAGTATTTGATGGTCAGACATGATTTGAAATGATCGTTGAGACCAGCAACCACCACAGAATCTGAGCAAGTTAGCTCCTTAGAGGCGTGTAAATGAACACAACAAGTGAAACCTATTGCTGTAGTTATAACTACTAGTTATACCTCTTGGTTGGCATGGCATTCTGAGTCACAAAGCGTTGCGCAAACTTACGACAGGTGAGCCCCAAATGTGTCCGAAGTACTGCAGATAGTTCCAATTTTTATGTTCCGTATTATGCAATGGAATCATGTCAAAATTTGAAATTGGAACTATATATTATAATCATTATCATCGGCATTCCATTTTATTCCACCTTTTATCATCCATAGTTACATCGAATTTGCTTCGATATCTTTTTCCCTCTGAAATTCGTCAGGCGGTCCCCATCTCAGTTTTTTTTTTTCGGTTCTTAGAAGCCTGCTGCGTCCCTTTCGGTCAGATCCCCGTCATGAACTTTGGCTACCGCCATTTGGCGCCTGGCGAGTCTGGGACCGAGTCCGCCGAGTCCCGGGGCCGGGACGACCGGGAGGAAGATGAGCTACCCAGGGCTGACTCAAAGATGGAAGTTCCAAAGCTGGGCGTTTTTTTCTTGTTTAACAGGGGATGGTATATAAATGTCCTGTTTATTCCTGTTTTGGGGATTTTGAACATCACTTTCAAGTATCTGTTGGGGATTATATCCCCATAGCTGGGTGATGTTCAATGAGGACATTTACCAACCCTTGTTTAGTGAAGCACTCATAAACCGCCTATGTTGATGGTTCAAAAACCACCGATGTATGGTCAATTTGGGGGCGGCTCTTGCTATTGCTCGAAATCGCCGGAATCTTCATGATGACTGATCAGTGACACTCATCGTCAAGATTGAATGATCAGTCAGAGGTGGTTCCTGAAATTCTATATCGGAATATTGGAATATGCCATAAATGTATGAGAATGTCAACAGTAATCAACAGTAATCAACATTAATCACCATTAATCAACATTAATCAACATTAATGAACATTAACCAACATTAATCAACATTAATCAACATTAATCATCTACCAATGATTGATATGATCCACTTGGATGTGTGGGACTCAGGTATCGTAGGTGAACAACCACCTTAGTTCACCCAGCTCTATGTATTTACATTGCAGATGATGGAATATCCCAGTTATATATGGGTGATATTACGAAGTGCACCCTCATGCAGTTCTTGTTGAATGACTTGTTGATATGTGATGTTCTAACAATTCCTTGGAAGAAGAGTTGATATGGCGCGACTAATGAGTTATGTATATAGTTGTTGAAGGGGTAGCTATAGTCTCAGTGATATAAACTCACACAACATTTTCCACGTCCGACATCTCAGTGATTTTCCAAATCCATTCTGATTTGAAGATCCATGTGATGTTTGTTTGTAACTTAAAATCCCGGTATATGGATGTTATATCACTGTTGATCAGTAGATGTAGATCAAAAACTTTTGGATTGTAGATCAACGGATGGATCAAAAACTATATAGCTCAGATCTACATCTTTTGGATTGTAGCTTATTTATCAAAAGTGTGAATTGTCGATCACTTTTCTGGGTGTACTTCGTTGAGCCGTGATGGAAATCCATGGCTTTCCCGTCCGGAAATGATCTGAGGCTGTGCTACTTTGCAGCCATTGGTGATGTGACCACTGCGCAGTACCTTTTGGATCAGGCGAGATGGTTCGTCAACTGTGTTTGCATTCGTTCAAAGATAGGAAAACCTTGAAGTCACCAAAAGAACACTCTTATAATTCTATATATATATATATATATACACCTGGGGGCCATACTTCGGAAGCCTCAAAGCAGCACAGAAAGCGGTCTCATTTTTTGGCCCGCGCAAATTGACTGACCAGCAATGCCATCACGCCTTCAGCAGCATCCTGCGGCGAGCAAAGATGGAGCATATATTGGATTGCCCGGACAATGCGCTTAGTCAACATGGGGTTACAACTCCTGCTGGGCCAATCACAAAAACCGAAAAGGGATGCATCTTCAAGGTAATGGGTGCTTCTCTGCACAACACATGAAGCTCTCTTTTTTGGGCCCGCAAAAGTCGCA